CTGCATTTAGGCCCCTTTTGTTCAATATCTCGGGTTGCACACCTCTGATCGCCGGGGACTAAAATCGAGGTAAATCCGGACACGCAAATCTATCAGTGTACCAAAATTTAGCTTTCTACAATTTTATTTAGCAATGAGGCCTTTTTCTGCATTGGTGTCCTGGGCTACAGCCCGGGGCCCGGAGCAGGCCCGTCCTCGCCGCGCTGCACAGGTCGCCCGGGTCTGCTGCAGCGACAGGGCTATTGTTTGTCGTCAGCCGTCGTAAACCCATCACAGTGACCACCGTCCGCAGCCCGTCCCGACGCAGTACCGCTGTCTGTCACCGCGCCACCAGTCGGCCACGGCCAGACGCACCGCGAGTTTTGAATTTCACAAAATGCCCTCAAAAACGACTCTTTTTATTGTAACTCTCGCTCCGAAAGTACTTATCGCAGAGCGAAAATAAAAACACCCCCGAGCAGAGGAAGGATGCACGCAGGCCATATGGTCGCTTAGAAAGCGGAAAGGTCTCATCCACTCCTCGTTTTGGCCAACTTAAAATTGGGCCATTTTTGAACACCGTTTTGGACAATTTCTTTTGTCATGACATAAAACTCAGGGACCATATGGTCTCCGGGCATCCTTCCCCTCTAGGATTCTGGTCGTAGATGACCGATCTGACTATTGTGAGTCCAATGAGAGTTACAATAGTGGAGGCTGTTTTGGCCAATTTTAACGTTCAATATCTCAGCTTCTATTTGAGTTAGAGAGCTAAAATTTTATATTTACAATCACGTTGTAGTACAGAACGGCCATGTAAAATTTCATCGAAATCGGACAATTTGTTTTTTCGATAGGTCCCCCCTTAATCACTTGCGAAATAGTTCGTACACCTTCCCCCGAAATAGTCCGAAATAAAGGCGAAATAGAGCGAAATAGACGCGAAATAGTCGGTTAAATAGTCACGACATACCCCTGAAATACTCTGAGATACCCCGAAATAACCCGAAGTAGGCGAGAAATAACCGAAATGGCAGGAGAAATACCACGGAACCCGAGTGATTTCCCCCTCGTCAGGGACTAAGCCTTTCAGATGCGTCGATAAGTTTCCGCGAAAAGAAAGGAGAAGGCATTGTAGAAACGGTCTAGCTAGTCCGGAGGCCACCCCAGAGGTCTCAGGTCAGAGGTCAGGCCACGGCCGCTGGGTTCCGTTGGGTCGGGCTGGGAGTATTTACTTTGCATCCCGGTGAGCTCTGGCCGGCCCTGCCCTGCCCGCGCGGCCACAAAGAAGCTAATGAACACACACAAAATAACAAACACGACGTTGCAGAAAAAGAGGGCGAGGGGGGGGGGCGAAAGAGCGTAACGTTGTTGCCAGCGGCCCGAGGGGGCGGGGGGCGACCTGGCGGCACTTTGACTAATCGCCGCAACATTCAATAGAGATAAAAGGGTTAAAACGAGACTTAACGGCATGTGTCGGGGCAGTGAAATAAAACGGCCGGGGCGTTGCAGGCGGTAGAGAGGGGGTGGTGGAGGAGAGAAATAAAGAGTGAGCGCATGGGGGGGGGGGGGGGGAGAAGCGACAACGCTGCTGTTCAACTGCTGTGCGGGCGAATCGAACCGGCCGCCACCGCCGTGCAAGCAAAATAAGCAGTGCCAGCGCAATGAGGGCAGGGAAGCGTGTACCGGCAGCAGCAGCAGCAGCGCGGGGCAAGGAGCCGGAAAAGAAGATAAGAGGAAAAGTTGCATTGGAGGGAGTGGGGCGAGGGGTGGCGGTACTGGTACCCGGCGGAGCTGCAGCGCAGCCCCGGAACAGAGCGCCTGCGAGCCGAGGATAGGCAAGCCCGCAGCGCACGGCGGCGGGCTGATGGCCTACCCCGCCCCCGCTCTGCTCCGCTCCCGCACCCGGAGCGCTGCACTCAACTCGCTGTACGCTGCAGCCCGTGACGCGACGGCTCCCAACTAGGAAATTTGATGTCCGAATTCTTCCCGGGAAAAAATGGAAACTTTCCCAGAAAAAATTATGAAAATTTCCCCCCAAAAGTGGATAAAATAAAACTTTTTTAGGAATTTAAACAAAATCTTCCAAAACCATTTTTTGGGGAAAACTAACACCCCTACTCCCAACACACCCGACACTCACCCCGAAGGCGGAGAAGCGCTTGGTCCTCCGGCGGTTGGGGTCCTGCGCCTGCTTGTTGAGGAACACCTCCGACTTGGGCCTCGGGGGCTTCTTGGGCCTGAGGATGACGCGGGCCTCCTCCCGGATGTCCTCGTCGAGGAGCTTCGAGTCGGACGAGACGGACAGCTGTCGCCGCACTCCCTCGTGCTCCCAGTCTGGAACAGAAAGACAAAGGAGACTGTCAGCAAAACCCATCTAGTCACTGTGAGATATAAATACTTGCACAGGTTTACATAAAATTTTCCATGATGTGTGTAGCAAATTAACAATGTCAAATTGTAAAATTACAAGTTTTACGACGGAATTAATTGACGAGCAAGATGGGTTGTCCTAATTTTACAATATATTCTGCAAATCGTAAATTGCAGAAATATACAAAATATGTCGCAAATTTACGAAAGGTAGATTTTTCTCGAGTGAGTTTTACAAGACAACACGGTGCTTGCGTTAGTGTAATGCGGTGGGAGCGCGGGACAGGGAACAGCAGAGAGGGATCCGTTGGGATCCCCGCTCCCGTAGCCGTGGATCGATCGCTGCGCTTAGACAAAGTGAAGGTAGTATAAAGGCTCACTTAGCGTGGAGGCCGTCGTAAAAGAAACAGCGGAGAGAAAGAAAAAGAGAAAGATAGAGTGAGTGAGTGAGAGAGAGAGAGAGAGAGAGAGAGAGAGAGAGAGAGAGAGAGAGAGAGAGCGGCTTGACACGACGCACGCTAAAGCCTAGTCGCAAAACCAACCCTCTCCTTCCCCTTCTCACCAGCCAGGAGGAGGAGGAGGGATGTAAGAGTGTAGGCCCGTAAAACCGTAAACTCTGCGCGCGGCGTAGCGTGGCGTAGCGCGGCGTAGCGCGGCGTAGTGCGGGTGGGATCGCCGTTGTGTGACTGTTTTACGTCTCGTCGCCGTGGCGCTGCTGTTTACGTCCCTGCGCCCCCTCCCCTTTACTCCCCCCCCCCCCCCCGGTCAGCGCGGTCGCCAAATGGGGCTCATACGGGTCAGTAAGTGGGGTCTGGGGCCCTGGGGTCGGAGTGAACAGTCGCCCAGTCAAGCTTTCAGGTACGGCTGTGCGGGTGACGGCTGGAGCCGAACTGGACAGCCGTTCAAAACAAAATCACCCCCTTCCCCTATGAAAATGAAATGCAAACTTTGCATTAAAAAGTTTTCCCAGAGTTTCTTGGAAGGAGTCAATCTGGTATTCCTAAATATTCTATCCAGTGAGCTGGCGAGCGGCGGGTGAAAGGCCATAGCCTAATGCAACGGCGGCTTAATTGAAATGGACGATACGATCCGGTGTGGGCGGCGGGGGGCACGGCCAACGAGGAAATAATCAAAATGAAAAAAAAAAAATAGTCGGGGTCGGTCGGAGTGTGGGACGAAATAAACGGGAGGGGCAGTACCGCACAGGAGGGAGAGTGGGAGAAAATCCATGTCGCGCGAAAATATATAAAGGCGCTAACATAACACTCTCGCGACCCACGCGGTGCCCACGCACACGCACGCGCGCACACACGCACACGCACGCACACACACACACACACACACGGGGGAGGATGGTGCGATGATGAATTCATTTTGCCTTACACACACACACACAAACAGTATTTGCTCGTGCCAGCGTGAACGCGGCAGTCCGTTCAATTATTTATGCATTTGCGAGGCAACCGAGGGCAAAAAGGAGCGGCCAGTAGCGGCGGTACTGCGCTCCTGGCCCCCAGAGCAGAGCAAAGGGCGCAACAGAGGCAGCAAGCACACCGACGCGAACGTTGTGTTTTTATCTTGCGCGTCTCCTCTCTTCCACAACCGACTCACCACTCTGACAGCTGGGATCCCTCCCCTCTCCCCCACTCCCTTTTCTCCTGACCCCTCGCCGGCCCCTGCTTTGGCCGCGGACCTAGACCTTGTTGGTCTGTTTGAGGGGCAGCTGAACTGCCGTTTCCTGTAGCAAGGAGGGGGGGAGGGCTTTAAGAGATTCGAGACGCAGTCCACAGCGTAGGCATTTCGGATGGAATAATACTTGAACACTTATGGAAAGCCTCTTTTTCTTGTGGTAAGCAAGTTGAGGCAAAAAAGTTCCCACACATTAACGCGCGACTAACGAGACAAACGTGTTGCAAACTGCGTTATGTGTGACACAACACAACTTGGTGGTTTCGATATGGCAGGGATGGCCTAAAATTTTAGCCCAACTGCATCGGGCGGGCTAAAAGTTTCGGCCATACCCGCCCTACTGAAAACACTAACACTCTTTCCGCACACGTTCTACTTTTCGTTTGTTGAGTTGTAGAGCCCCCTTCCTGCACATAGACGCTTAGTGTGTTGTTTTTGTGGTGACAAACGTGATATTTGTGCAAATGGGTCGGGGAGGCTGCTGATGGTCCCGAGGGTGGGCTCCCCTTGGCTGGGCGGCAGCCAACAGCTCCTGGTACTTCTGGTGGGGGCGAGGGCGCCAGGACGCGACGTCACCGGGGCTGTGCGACGGGCCGTCGCGGCGGCGGCGGTGGCGTCACCGCCACATGGCGGACCAGGAGCCCGACACGGCCTGCGCGACGGCCCGGCGGGGACGCCGGCGGCGCGGACAGCGATCACTACCGGGGTCGCCTATTTCGGACGGCGCGGGCGTCGTCGCGCGGACGTCACCGAGGAGAGGGAAGGGGCGACGCGCACGCTCTGGCGGGCAGAGAAAGAGAGAGAAGGGCGGTGAGCTGTCAGACCCAGCGATATCAGAGGGCTCAGGAAGGGGGAGAGAAAACTAAAGTAAAAAGTGGCCGAGCGGGACGGGAACACAACCGAAAAAAAAAACCAACTGAAACATCGACATCGGCTTGTCGCTGTCAGCAGCACGGGCCGGACGGGAAGGTACGCAAATTTTGTGTAAAAAAAAAACAAGTATACATGTGGTGCTTGGATTATTTATTTTTCGAGGGAGAAAGCGGGAGAAGCAGATAGCGTGCGAGCGGGCGCGCGATACTGTGAAGGCCCCGACAGCAACAACGTCGAACTCTAGGGAAATCATCCCCCCCCCCTCCCCGCTGCCCTCCAGCCCCGCTCTCCCCAGCCCCATCCCGGACTGCAGGAGCAGCAGGCAGGCACACCACCTCGGCGCCGCCAAGGCCAAACAAGCGGGGGTGGCGGGGCGGGGCGAAGAGTGGCGAAGGACAGCATGGATAATTTGGGGCCCCGCAACATTCCGTGGAGCGCGGCAGGGCAGGGCGGGCGAGATGGGGTCACCCTGCAGCGAGGCTCGCGCTCCCCCGCCCCGACCACCCTCAGACCTCTCTGTTGCGCAGTCCCCGCAGTGTGTGCGTGTATGCATGTGCATGTGTATGTGTGTGTGTATGTTGTGTGTGTGTGTGTGTGTCGCGGGCGAAAAAAGCTCCTACGTACCCACTTTCCACTATCCAGCCAGCAGCAGGCGAGCAGGCGTGTCTTTATTTACCTCCGTGATTCGCATCTCTCTCCCCTACAAACGGCTCGTGGCGCGGCGGTGGGGGCGACAGGGGG